TTTTATGATTACGTCACAGGCTCCAGAGGAAAGGAAGTGTAAATTTGAAGAATCGTCTTTTTTTGCTAGACACAATAGTGATGAGAGCCGAGAACCACCGAGTTCGTGACTCTCTCCCTCCGTAGAAATGCGCTCGTCGTGGCTTCAATAAAACTTGTGGCTCTCGGGTAACACAGAGATTTATAACTACCAATTCATCTCGGAGACATCGAGTGCGGTTGCAATTTCCCGCTAACGATGCTGATTCAAAGCAATATAGTTGTTATGCTGACTAATGGCATACACATAACATGTGCGTTTATTGTTAAATAGCTGACGGCTACGCCTTCAAGCCACAACTTTATTATTTTTTGCGTTAATAAATTCTGAATAAGTCTGTTTGGCACGAGCTTATCCTGACAGCTGCGTAGGCAACAGACAATCTCTTTTTGAGCACCACTGCTGTTATGATCGGACTGCCTGGCTTGGTTCTGCTTGGACGCGTGAGACATTGCGGCTGAGTCTACCCTCATTTCTTTCCGTGTAAGCGTCCCAGAAATACACCAAGAGCGACGACCACACGAAAGTCTTTCTTCGATTTATCCATAGCCGGCGGTGCCCCTCTTAAAAACCTTTAGACATGCCTGAGTCACTGAAGAATTAGGAAGAGCTGTTGGCCGTCAAGGCGGCTTGCTTTGTGCGTCAAGGTGCCCCGGACAATGAGCCGAGCGTCTGAGACCCGTGTTTCTGTGAATTCCCCCCGTGCCCCGTGGTGCATTCATGCCACCGTTCCCCAAACCATGCTTTCCCGGTGCCGCAAACTCATCTGTGCAACGAATTACAGAGTTGATTTGCACGTAGGACTCAACGTCTTCGCGCTGTGCTGCGTCGCGCACGTTGTGCAGTGTTTTCTGCCTCGCCATGGGACGAACTTGGCGTGCCCTTTTCCTCTTTCCCGGGTCGGGAAGGAGGTGGTGTTTCGCCTTCCCCTTTTCGAGGCGGAGGTGAATATGGCAATTTGAATGAACTGTCCTGGCCTCCTTTGTTTTTTCCTGCAGGGAATCCTGAGAAGGCCAGGGAATAAAACGGGAGAGCCGCGAGGCTCCAGAGAAACTCCCAGAAGCTATCATGAAGTGTCCATCGAGAGCTTCTATGATGCTACCCTCATCAAGTTGTAACACTCTACCTGTAAATAATGTAAGTAAATGTTACTGCTAACAGCTCCAGGCTCCTCTCCTCGACATCTCCCGGAGCCTTTGGCTGGCTTCGGTCCTCTGGGCTGACTCCCAACTACATCACTAGGGCTTGAATGGCTGTACCAGTGTCCATCCTCTTTACGCTCATACCTATTACAGTGTAAGGTCGAATGCGATGCTTTGTGTCAATTAATCGTTATTTACTTCAGCATAGCATTCAATAGTAATATTCCTCACGGGGATATGGCGAGGAGGGCTCGACTCCGTATAGTGGGGTGGTTTCCTCCAAAGTGCCATCTCACGACATCATGACATCAAGGTTACTGAAATTGATTAAAATTGTCACCTGAATAAAAAGAAGATAAAAATTCTCACCAGGTAAGCAAAGCGCCTTGTCATCACCTTGAAGTAAAAAGCATTGGTGGTACGCAATCAATGTTTTTGGTTCAGCTTAGAGTTGATTGGATACATATATATTGAAGCATACACTTACCAAATTAGCATAACGAATAATTAACCGTCAGGATAACTCACTAGAGAAAATTTAATAGTATCTGTTGATTGAAAGAGTTCGTCTGCACCAGAAAAATCATATTTCAACCACACGGCTTTTTCGACATGGCCTCTGAGATTAGCTTCGGCAGCACGACAGCACCCAACGTTGCCCGAAGGAATGCCCCTTGGCAGACTGTGAAGTCAAAGGTGTCTTCAAGAACCTTCTTATTTGTGCTAGTGAAGCCATCCGACAATCCGAGACAGCTAAATTGGTGGATCATCTCCGTACAACTCCAGTATCCGGTGCCAAATAAAATCAAAAATGTTCAAGACAACTCCCCCGCGAATGTGACAGCTCGTATCTCTGCTTGGCGTGACTTTAAGTCATGGCGAATGGTGGTCACTCGCCACAATTGTCTTAGTCGCAATAATCTGACACGCAATTGTAAGATTGAGACCTGCTCATGTTTTGTGCTTGTATTTTTGTTTTTTGCGAACCAATTTTCGATACACCAAAAGTGATTTCACCGTATCTCAAGTTCCGCATTGAAAGCCTCGCTTATGAGAATGATGGCGCAGGTAACATTTTTCTGTACCTTAATAATTGTTCGATGCATTTTAAAACTAACTTGTCCGAACTCTTTTATTCAGCTATGAACGTGCCTATACTGAATAATGCTGTATTACGCTATTGCTTTATTTTGTATACCTCAACATTCAATCTAGAATGTGCCCCGCCGCGGTGGTCTAGTGGCTAAGGTTGCTCGCCTGCTGACGCGCGGGTCGTGGAATGATATCGTGGCTGCGGCGTCAGCATTTTCGATGGAAGCGAATGTTCTGTAGATCCGTGTGCTCAAATTCAAGTGCTTGTTACAGAACCCTAGGTCGTCGAAATTTTCGGAGCCCTCCACAACAGTGTCTCTCATAGTCGTATCATGATTTTTAGGACTTTAAACCCCACATATCTGTCATCAATCTGGAATGCAATGACGCACGTCGATTTCCTTTTTTCTATTGCTGAAACGTCCTGCCCGTATTCACATCTTGATTTCTAACTAAACAATGTCAAAGGCACGATGCATTCAAGGTATATTGCCCATTTGGGCAGCAGCTGTCTGCGTGTGAGAATTGTGGGGACCTTAAGTCTTGCGGTAATATCGTGTAAGCAACATCTGGAGACTCACTTCTATTTATTTATTTAATTATTTATTTACCTATTTATTTATTCATTCATTTATTTAAATACATCTCATGATGGTCTCAGTAGTGGCTTTTCAAAGGGTTGAAATGCAAAAACCTATGGGTCGTATATCGAAAGTTAAAGCTCATTAACTGCAAGAGCCACGAAACATAGTGAAATACAAAATGTGTCGTCTTGAACGTTAGATAACGAGATCTCGCAATCTTTAGGATACAATAAAATGTGCAATTCAACAGCTATGTGTCTGTAAAATCTACAAGTTATTAATGTGCATCTGCAAATAATGTACTTCTGAGTCACCGGAATCAAATTTATATTACTCTGGCAGTTGAGCTTTCAATGAGTCCAGTTTTCAGCGGCTTCTTCCTTTCCATCCCAACATCAGCGCTAAGTATGTCTAATTATACTTAAATGAGAGCAAAGTTTGACCAGTCACTTAGGTCATTCTGGCTCACCTTTGTAATCAGCCGGGAGGGAATCAATGGCCACACTATTACGGATGCTCTCAACTTAAATGTTGTAAAAAAGTGTCAGTGTCAGCCATTCTCGGAACGACCTGTTGTTAACCACACTCTTACTCATCAGAAAGGACGAGACGGCAGCACCAGCACTCGCTCCTCTCGTACGACGCACTGTGTAGTACACAAGCGGTCCTGGTGCTGCCGTCTTGTCCTCTCGGATCAGTGAGAGTGTGGTAAATATTAGGTCGTTCTGAGAATGGTTGACACTGCTCCCGGCTTTCCAATTCAACACGTATGAACATGAGCAGTGCTTTTAGTTTCGAATCTGATTTTGCAGCCTCCAGTTGCCGATCTGACGCGTTTGTAGAAGACTCATGTCGTCTTAAAGCCTCGCTGCTCTTTGGTCTGATGTATGCAAGAGCAATTCCGTACGGCAAAGCCTCTCGTAGATTATCAATCAACATTACCGATAAAGTTATCGTTGGTACGTTTAGGGCAGTGAGACATCGTAGGTTGAGCTGCACAGAGTCGTAAAGCTGCCTGAGGCCTCTAACGTTGCTTCCTGCCTTAACATGGGGAAGATTGCGATGCGCTGACAGGTGGTGTTGCACGATTTTGTTACGATCGCCGAACCATTCTTTCAGTAGCTCTATGGCGTCGGCGTAACACGATTCGGAAGTCGGGAATCCAGAGATCGCAGCTGCCGCACACCCGCAATGTAATGCTGCAGGTAGAAAAACTTCGTCGTCGTCGATAATGCGTTGTTATGATGAATAGCCTCTTCAAACTGCTCTTAGAAAGCTGACCACTCGTGAATGTCATCTCTAAATGTTGGCAAGTCAAGGTTCAGCAGCCTTGGGCCAATTCTGGTCAAACTGTTGCTGTCGCGTTCGTAGGAGCAGTCACCGCTGTACTGTTCACGCGTCCCTAACCGTCTATCTTGCAGCAAATCTCGGCGAGCAAGCTGATAGCTTGGTCGTTACATTCCGCTGCCGCGATATACTCCGCTTCGAGCTCCTCATCAGCTAGGGGCTCCTCGAGCACACCATTGATCTTCGAGAGCTCGTAGTAGCTAGCTGACAAACGGTCATAGACACCTGTGAGCTTGGGCTCCTCTGCTGTAGGATCTGTGAGCAGCGATCTCGATTCTTGTAGGAGCTTCGTGTTCTGAGCTCGTCGAGCGGAGCACTTAGCCTTGAGTCGATCCATCGGAAACGTTGTTGAAGTCGATGAATTTGGTCTGCGCTGATCAGGAACAATACGTTGCAGTATTCACCGCCCGCAGGACGACGCGGTCCATTAGAAGGTCCCCTCGAGTCGTGCAATGAAGGAGACGTGTCCGCACGAGGGGTTTCAGCATTACGGTGTAAAGTAAAAGTATAGACCGGCGAAGTACCCAAACCGAACACCGTTCCTGGGAACCAACTACTTCTTCCTTTGCAGTGCTCGCCTGCACGCGTTTAACACTACATCCTTTCTACATACTCCTGCCCCCCCCCCCCCCCCCAGAGCTGCACAAGTCGAGCTGTAACAATGTATTCTACCTATGGAAAGTTTGTTCCTATTTCATTTGGTCAAAAACTTCTTTATAGCTACCGTGCATTGCACTGAGATTCCCGATTGCATATGTTCGGAATTACGATAATGACACGGAGTGATTGACCATGCTTCAAATTCTTCTAAAAAATTTATTGGTCCTATGCGAGATATTTTCCTTGGAACATATAGTTTCATTGCGTCAGGTTGTTACCCACACAGTGATTTCAGACACGCCTCGCTGATGCGTGCCTCCTCAGCACTGCTTTGCTCTGCGCGCTCTGCAGATTGTGGTTCAGTCCTGGCTTCGGCCTCACTGGCACTGCTGCTGGCGGGCATGGCACCGCTCTCTAGAAACAGAAAAGAGGACATTACGAAACCTATATCACGATGCAAAATTAGTCTCAAATAACTTGGACAACACTTGTATTGCGATAGCTGCAGCATTCATTGCGCGAAAAAAAATATGCAGAGTAATTGTGGTAACTTCAACTCATCTCCCTAGTTACGTATTCGAACAGCACATTATAAGAGTAAGGCTTCGCATCACAGCATGGTGGGTCAGACAGCAGAGCATGAGTAGCTGATATCCCTGTTCTACATGTGGGGAGGGGGAAATCCATCCAGTCTTTTTTGGAAGTTATGTGAGTTACACTGACGCGCGAAACTTCTCTGTGGCTTGTAGCCTTCCAGATTTTTTTTTTTCTGTAGCATCGTCACGGCGTGCTTTCGAATTTTTTCTGGCCTTTGTCCGCATTGGAACAGCGGTATGGCAACGCATCTCACGACCAATGAAATGCGGCCTTAGCATCAAATTTTTCGCTAACTTAGGTATTTTATAATGTGCGAAATACTTGATATACATACTATACATGTTTTCGTGGTGAGGGCTATAATATCACTGCCAATTTATGCAACAGCGTTGCGGCGTAGAAATATTCAGATATTCAAGAGTAAGTTGTCGGCCTGAGATCAGAAAAAAATTTCGGTGCCTGTGCCAGACGTTGAGACACTTGCCTTGGAACCTCGGGGACCTAGGTACAAAGCCAGCACCACCAATAAAATTTGTATATATTTTTATTTTTTGAACGCAATAGCTTTATGAAGCTCGTTTCACAGAAATTTCAGCATTGGCGTCGGTATCGTTGGTTGTAAGCGAAATTTTACAATCTTATACGTAAGCAGAGAATCGATAACAGTGCAAATAAAACAAATGATAAAAAACTCTGGGTCCAGACTGGGGACTGAACCAAGGTCATTTGGGTTCGAGTGGCGATCGAACTCAGGTGGTTAGCTTGGCAAGCGGATGTTCTACCACAAGGCCAGGCGTCTGTTTGTGAATACAATAAAAAAGAACTACCTCTGCTTGGAAATGCAGGGAAAGTAGCTTTCATGCTGTACAAACACACGCTTCCTGTCTACATGCTTCGCAATGCACATGAAATATTGCAGTGATAATGCGTAGTACAAGCGCCAGCGAGTGTCAGAACGTGCGATTATCATAATGACTTCATGGCTTTAAAGCCGGTCACCCACCAGAAAAGGCACACCCGCTACTGCGCCTATTTCCTTAATGCCACGTAGTGGGTGCATAGCAAGCTCGAAAAGGTTTCATGCACTAAGTGCTTGAAGTACGCACTAGGAACAGGATATTTCTATCGCGTTCAACTTCTAAAGGCGAAGCTTTAGGGTTCCCATAATTTTTGTGTGCATTTATTTATTTATGTATGACCGTGATCGTTTTTATCTAACAGAAAGCGCAGGCGGACGAAGTGACCATGTTCTCGATGAGTTTTCAGGGACAGGCCAACAGCCATGAATTTTTGTCGAGGGGGGGCACTTCTTCGAAGACTTAAAAACTCCTATTTTGTCATTTCTCCTCGGTAGAATACCCCTTCTATCCGAATTTCAGAGCGGGGGAAAGCTAGCCCCCCCCCCCCTTCGCCCCTTTCTACAGGCCTGCTTGAGTTGGTATAGAAACATCTACAAATAGCCTCAGGGCTATACGCTCCGAGGGCTGCATTCAGCACTTACCGTCTTTCATCCTCCCTATGTCTGTTGTACGCTCGGTCACAACGCACAAAGCTAAACTGAATAACGGGCACATAAGAGCTGCAAGATATAAGTGCACATAGCGAGGTCACGTAATGCGATGGAGAGATAATGAGTCGTCATCTAGAGAAATGGAATCCATACCAATAGTGAGAAGTGTAGTGAATTCTTGCAGAAGCTTAGGCCAGGTAATTCGCATACCTAAAAAGCTTTGGTTTTTTTGACCGTGACCGACAGTATTTCGTGTCTTCCTGGCGTGGTATTGATAAACGTTATCAAGAAGCAATAGTCGCCCCTGAGTTTTCACTTCATTGATTACGACAGCACCTCTGCGCAGAGGTATCACAATGCCTACATTTCGATAATACAGTGAAGGCTCGTAAGGCGCAGGTGAAATTACAAGGTTATTTCTTGGGATTCAGAAAAGCTGGTCTGACAAAAAAAAACTCACCTGCCACAATCAGACCAAAAATGGCTAAGCCGACGAGGATAACTTTCAGCTGCATGTTTTTTTCCTTGACAAAACTGGGGACAAAAAAATGCATGGCACTTTGTGATCGCTGTATAGAGTAAAGTTATCGAAGATATTAACATCTCCATGGGTTGGATATGGCGGAAGCAACCCCCGCTTGTGTCACAGCTGCTATACGTGAGCCGCAAACTCGCAAGCTCATGGGATGCATGTGGTCTGCACTAGCTTCCGGTTCAATGGCTCTCTGTCTGCTGCGTTACTCCTTGGGCATCGGTGTCACTCGCTTTTTCATGGTAATCCAACGCGGATGCTGCGACTCACTAGCGCGCGTTAGTATAGCCGCACCTGTGACTGACCGCGAAAGGGATGCATGCACTGTCGTTGTGAAATAATATTTTCATTTCAAGTGGCAAATAACCGATTGTATGTGCTATCACGATCCCGCCTTTTTTTTAATAGAGGGGCATGACCTTGGTTGTCACGTATTTCAAATAATTTTGTACTTACATACAAGCGCAGGTAACCCACTAACGTGCTTATTTATACGTGTTTCCATCTGTGGGTGTGCTTAGCTGATTTTTGCAGTCGTAGTTGCAACGCAGGTTGTATGCATGTTCACTATGTGCAGGGGGTATACTATGTTACTAAAACTACGCGTTCAGAGCGACGGCATGGCAAAATATTCAATCGTTCGTTCTCGAATGACCTCGACTATAATGCAGCGCTGGCAATGCTTTGAAATCGAAATGTGTCGGCGGTAACTTTTTTTTTTTATACGAAGTCGAGCTCGTTCGGCTTTTACGTATTGTATCGCATTAGTGTAGAGGCTGGCCGAGACGACGCTCACCTCATAGTCAGGCACCGAGTTTGTTAGGCGTATTTGCCTCCTCAGATCGCATGTGCACCAGATCACATGTGAATAAATTGACTGCTCCGAAAGAAATGCTCGGAGGAACACTTGAAATTACCCGCAATGTCGCATATCTCTTCTATAACTAGAATAGTAGGACGCTTTTCCTTGTCTACGTAGCGTTACTGACGCATTCTTTCCTCCCACTTATGCGAGGACGTTGCCTTCAGACCCACTGCCTGACTGTGCATACATCGCTGCAGTTGATGTCATTGACATAATGTCCATGGATTCCCCGGCGTCACCGCTTGTCTGATGTCGTGCGGCTGTTGGCTGCTGTGTCAGGCTATTTTCGGTATCAAGGTCAGAACTGCCTGCACGTTGCGCGGTGACCGTGCGTTTTAGCTAAATGCCGTATGCTTGTAACAGTTGTGTAGGGAGTGATTGTGGTTGTGCTGATGAAAAAACTACACCCCCATATGCCTTTTGTGCTTCCGTCTTCAAGTCTCAGTTCTTCTTTCACCTTGCCGAAATGTGAACGGCACGTAATCAACCTGCCGTGGATCTTTGCTGGGAGCGCCTGTACGTAAATACCAAGTGTGCCAGACAAACAAAACAATCCATGCAGGATTTGGGACAAATATCACCTACCTGACGCTAGGCACCCAAAGGTCCTATTCTTACCACAAAACCCACTTCAATTTTCTATCTTCGTTCCAAGGGAATGCGAACATCTTTTTTTTTTTTCTTTTCGGTGCTCGAACTCGAGCAACCAACAGCTGCACAACCAGTCATGATTGCGCTAGCGATTACACTGCAATATAATAAAAAAAAGACGTGGCTACAGCTCCAAAAACGCAGCCAGCGAAACAGCGCGCCACGGATATCTTGAACCGTAAGCCGATGCAGACGTCTACTCCCATAAGGCTTTGTGGGTTTACGCCTAATCTATTACTGTATTCGCTACTAAACGTCAGGAGGCAGGTTCGATACCCAGCCGCAGTGACAGCTCTTTGATGAACGTGCAAGGAAATGACACATGCGTTCACTTGGGGGTGAGATATATTGTAATTATAAACAGTCGTCGAGTATGGCCAGCGCCTAAATGATATTGTCATTTTTGAATTAAAGTTACATGATTTGACTTTGATTGTGCGAAAAGTTTGTTGCAGCAGCAATCAGAGCCCTACTTTCAACGTTCCTTGATATAATGATCGCAGGTGAACAAAACTACACGCTTCTATTTTAGCTGTGTACCAGTGAAAAGAGTTGCCAAGCTGCTTGACTGAGCGCAGAGATATCTTTAGAGGAAGTCTCTCCCTTTACGGGCATCAGACAATTTTTTTTTCGATCGGTGCGCGATCTTTGTAAGACACCTTATTTTGGTTACGTGTAATTACCGATGTCGTAAGTACTTCCTTTTATTCTGATAACGTCCCATTTTTCAATGCATACAGGCGGCGTTACGAAATCAAATGTTTGCCCCAGAGCAGGCGCATGGCATATGCGCACGAACTTTGTACTATTCGTCAACGTCTGGGAATCCAGTTAGTCACCCTTAGTGACCAGCGGTTATCCTGTCCACGCACTACACGCCCGGCCCATGCCCATTTTTTCTTCTTGATTTCAACTATGATATCCTTAACCCCCGTTTGTAACCTAATTCACTCTGCTCTCTTCTTGTCTCTCAACATTACACCTTTTTTCTTTCCATTGCTCACTTCGTCGTCCTCAATTTAAGCTGAACCCTTTTTGTAAGTCTCCACGTTTCTGCTCCGTAGATAAGTACCGGCAAGACACAGCTGTTATATACCTTCCTCTTGAGGGATAGTGGCAATCTACCTGTCATAGTTTGAGAGTGCTTACCAAATGTGCTCCACCCCATTCTTATTCTTCTAGTTACTTCAATCTCGTGGTTCGGCTCCGCAGTTATTACCTGCCCTAAGTAGACATAGTCTTTTACAACTTGAAGTGCACGATTACCTATCTCGAAGTGCTGCTCTTTTCCGAGGTTGTTGTACATCACTTTCGTTTTCTGCAGATTAATTTTAAGACCCACCTTTCTGCTCTCCTTGTCTAACTCCGTAATCATAAGTTGCAATTCGTCCCCTGAGTTACTCAGCAATGAAATGTCATCGGCGAAGCGCAGGTTACTAAGGTACTCTTCATTAACTCTTATCCCTATAACTGTTCACATTCCAGGCTTCTGAAAACCTCCTGTAAGCACGCGGTAAATAGCATTCTGGAGATTGTGTCCCTCTGCCTTACACCCTTCTTGATTGGTATTCTTGATTGGTCAACGTATACTCGCTGCTATATTCGAGTTGGGCCAATATCTGACCAAGCGGAGGTGGTCATGTAAAACTAATAATATCTAAAAATGTAATAATTCCATCTCATGCCAATGGCCGTTAGGCTGAGTGAACTAAACTATCATCGTCGCTGATGATTTATTACGTTGCGACAATGCTCTTTGGCGGGGTTATAAAGTCGTACCTCAATGCTGTTACTGACGAATTGCCGCCCTGACAGCCGCTCACAACAAAGTTTGTAGAGACACGTTTTTAGCCCGAAAAAGCAGCACCGTTGCTTTGTTGTCTATCCCAACGCATCCTAAGGCATCAAATAATTATTGATATTGTCTATAAAATACATTGTATTAGCACTTCATTAATTTCGTCGAACAACTTGCAAATGCATATCTAAATACATTGAGAAGTTATTTACCACACAAAGTTTCGTTTGCAAAAATGTCTTTTTTTTCAAAAACTTTCAGATGTATTTTTACTTAACCTTTAACTATGAATTCCTGAAAACTTGCATTCAATTGTGTTTATTCATTGCCAGTACGAATGACGTTTCTCTTACTGCTACTAGAGTTTTGATTTCACTGCGCTCTAAACTGATGCCTTAATTCTGTAAGGCGAAACAAGTACACTACTTGTGCTATCGTGGGCACACAGGCACTGCCCAACGCGCCGTAAGATTCTGCATTTAGTAAATAATCACCTTTCGAAAAGCCGACACGCCAGTTGTCTCGCAGGGCTCCTCTGTAGTTCGAAGTCCTTTGTGAATATTCGGTCGTTCGCATTATATACCAGTACACTTTCATACACGTGCAGACGAAAAATGCACTGAATCTTTATTTAGAATGAAGCGTGTCAGAATTTGGTCTGCTTAATGAGGTATATCCTGTTTTGCACATTTGTAATTGCATTGGTGATCGCGTGACAAAGGATGTACAAAACACGACTGCTTGACACGAACGTACTGCACTCTGACCAACTGACTTAATTCACTTCCACGTAGCATGCTTAGCTGTATTTAATGTCACAAAACGTTCACCAGTTAGTCGAAGTTTGATGCTACTTTCAAATGATACTTCATTCTGGTCCTAATTAGGTCACACGTTGCTCAATGTATGTCTTTTAAAGGCGAAGCATTTGTTATATATAAATATTTATATATGAGATCTAGCAGAGAAAGATGCCAAAGAAAGTATGGGGGAAGTTATTAGACCAATTAGACCGAATTTTTTGGTCTAATAACTTTCCCTAATCTTTCCTTGGCATCTTTGTCTGTTATATCTCATTAGTATTGTGTCGAAACACGTAACGGTGAAGTATACACTTCTTCCCCTCCCTTATACATATATATATATATATATATATATATATATAGTAGATATAATATATATAATTTGTACGCCCCTGGTTGTTAGTCTTCGGGATGAAGATGTATGGACTTCATGTATAGTGTTCACGTGAATGCCTTCAAGTTACGCGTTATAATAACTGTCAAACACCTAAAGAAATTGCGAAAAAATATCTTATATTAGTGTACAGTAAACCTTAAACTACTTCTGTAAGGATACAATTTACTTTCATGTTTTACCGATTCCTATGACGGATGGTTAAAACATTTCTTTTTACATTTTCGTAGCGATCCAAATTGCCAACGATTAGCCCTACATGGATTGCCAATAAATACCTCATATAGTTTGAATGATAACTGTGCTATTTGTTAAATAAATATTTCCACGTGTATACAACTGAACTGGTATGCGTCAAGTGACTTATTTCGCAAAGTTTTATTTTTATTCTCATCATTCTTGTCTCTTTAGTTTATGTGTAAATTCCAAAATAAGGGTGAAATGCAAAGACAACGCACTTCTCCACAAACTAAGTCAGTGGTCAACCTTTTTTTGTTGTTGATGTTGTTGTTTATACATGATGTTAAAAAGATGTTCAACGTAGCCACATATTTCATTAATTGATTCCTGTATATTGTGATCAACGACAACTGAGCGAAGTCGCTTCTGGTTACGTCTGGTCATCGGGCCTGATTACCCAGCCTAGAAAGTTGACGCACGCGCATTCATACAACTCGACGTAAACTCTGAAGCTTTTTCACTCTTCGTTCCTACATCTGCAGTAGAATTGTGCATAGTGCTGTTCATAGCAAAATATATCTCAATTTTCTCATCGGGCGTAACTTGCAAGTTTAGTGTTACAGTTGCCTATGGTATCTCATTATAAACGATACTGGGAACTTGAAATGCTCAGGATGACGCCGAGAGCATTGAGCAAATTAATATATTATCAATATTGTTATTTTTTATTTGAAACAATACCCGCAAAGCCATCTTAGGCATTATTGCGAGAGGCACAGTGCCTCATAGAATGATTCCGTAGTCTTGCAGGCCAACTAATTAAATTGGCCTTAGAAATATATTATTATTATTATTATTATTATTATTATTATTATTATTATTATTATTATTATTATTATTATTATTATTATTAGTTAGGTGCACAAAACTCCCGAAGACAGATGATATAGGGAGGCAATATGCTAGGAACTGCCACATAAAATGGCCAAACCCGCTGATTTTCCTTGGGTAAAGTGAGGTATAGTGAAAAAGAGAAAGTCAAAACTTTAAAAAAGAAAACCAAATAACACAGACGGATGAGCTGAACTTGATCTTGTGCATAAAAATTGGCAGGGTTCGATGGGCATGATCACACCGAGCAGCGCATTCTGCCCGGAAGAGGCCATCCTCTAGGGTTGCAAACTAAATTTCAGTAAATTCATATTTCTTTATGAGCTGTGCCCACTATATACAAATACGGCACACTCATAAATTAGGTCTTGAAGTCTCACAGAAGGCACAAGACATTCACAATGGAATGTTCAGATGCCCTTGATGATTTCATCATTACCATACTAATAAATAGTCAACTATTTGCTTATACGAGAGCATTATTCACGACGATGCAATTCTCGATCAGAAATACAGCGAGAAGGCAACCCGCTTGCGACACGCTGCTCGGCAAGTTGCTATATAAAAATTGTCGCCAAACCAGCAGACAAGCGTTTTCTGACAAGCACGAAATGCTTTGCCAGTCGCACTCGTTGTGGGAGCAACTTGAAGCGAGGTGATCGACCCCTGCATTTGTAGCCCTATCTACTTTAGACGGTATCTACTGGCTAATGATGGAGGCGCAGCCCACGAGGAATAGTTTTTGAACAGGTTTTACGATGTCGCGTCTGATCGGCCTGTCAGAATGTTTTTCAACAATCTGCTATGGGAAGCGCAAGAAACTGCGAGTACGACAGCCTGTGGTGACACTGACCTTCGTCGAGCGCATTTCAGAGCAAGGTGTGTTTAAAAATATATCAGTTAATCACCTACCATATATCGTGTGTCACTGTGTACTGAAGGGAACGTGCTGTAATTAGAAACTCGCATTATAACATGGACTTCATCTGAACTGATCAAACTCTGACAAGCTATGTCGTCCTGAACGTAGGTTGTTGGAGTTCCTGCGTGAAAAAAAAAACACAGATAATTGCACCCGTTTGAAGCGTAATGGCACTTACCGCTAGGGAGCCATTTGTAAGCAGCATTGCATCAGCTATTACAGCTAAGGCTGTTGTGAGATCACAACAAGGGTATCGTGTGCCGTAGTTGTCCGCCGCCGCCGGTGTCCGTGACCACTACTATCACACGAAGTAAGAGAAGAAACTAAGTAAATGAAAAACCCCAAGGGCACAATGGGATTCAAACTCTAGTCTCATGCGTGCCGGACTAGTATTCCACCACAGAGCCACGCCGGATTCGGAAACTCTGTTGCAAACTGGCCTTAGGCAGGCATGATTTCGGGAAAGCAATCGCGGTAATATGAGTAGTATAGTGTTTCAGAACAGCAAGGCAACCACCAGGCGTCGCACAATGCGAATTGCGCAACGAGTTGGTCATCAAATGTTCTAACCCATTACAAATGTTTCAAGCATGATTCTTCTTCGTCGGCCACAGCACTAAAAAAATCACAAAATTCTTTGCAAGTAAGTAGTGGGTACCATGCTTCTACAATGAATGACGCATGATGGCAAAGTGAATGCCTCCCTATCACACAAAAATGACGAAAATTATGGCGCAGTGGGCTGCTAGCAAGCGGGCCTATAGAATTACCCAAATAGCGTTTAACGAAAGCTCGTAAAGACCCCTCTTTTCACCTTGCGCTGGGACTGTGTGGCACGCTCCACACAGGTCAGGCAGTTTTGTTTTTCGAGCTGAGACGTCCACAAGTTCGCAAACCGCAAGACTGGCCTTAGGACGCCGACTTAAACGACGTAATTTTGAAATTTCGTTCCCGCTTATCGTTTACAGAACGAGAATCGTCTATGGCTTAGAACACTACTTCAACATTAAGGTCGGGTAAACGTAAAATTTAAACGTTGCCTTCACAAGGAATTAACCCAACTAGTTAAATCATCATCAAACTACTGATGATGATGAACTACTGACACGCGTTATGCTCAAGTTTTGTGTTGCGGATAGCAACCCGCAACCACGCAAGACAGCTTTTTGGTTTGTGTACTTGGTGTGGCAGCACTACTTCTACATGACAGCCTTGAGTTGTCCTACAAATTTATTCACGCCAAAATATACGCTTGTATAAGGAGTATTCTTTAATTATAATCCTTCACTAGTGTGTTAATCAAGACACGGAAGAAGTTCGGGGGAAAGTGGAAGCTCGCAAAGATGTGGAAACACGTAAACAGGGAGCTGGTACCAACGTTCCGAGAAGCGGGCTTGCCATCTGCAAGTCCGCTGGTTGAAACGTCAGCTTCAACAAGATTCCGTGCTCACGAATGTTTCGTCTCTTCGCTGATCTGCGAACTGAAAAAATACAATAAATAATAAAGCGTCGAATGTTGTTGAAGTAATACACGCAAAGCGCCAACTCAAGAAGATTAGGGAAAGTCAACAAGGCTGCCGGAAAGAACTCATTCAACGGCGCCAGATTTGTGCTTGCTGCAAAAAACTTTAAACAAAAAATGCAAAGAAGCAAAACACCACTGTTTCAACTACTGTATATACTTTCTAGCTTTCCCAAAAGTAATCCGCAACAATTTGGGAATCACTTTCGCCGAAAGAACACGCTCTCAACTCAACTATCGTCACTTGAAAAAGCGGATAAAGCCAACAGATATAACCACTTTTTTTTTCATTTTGCTTTCACAAGAGATAATGGCCTCATGCCGACATTGTTCCAAGCGCTGTGCCTGCTATAGACTCTCTCGTTATCACAGACCCGGGTGTTCGTAATCTTCTGCTTGCCCTATGAATACTAATAAATAGTGGGGTTCACAGTGTATACCCAACCAATTTCTGAAAAGGTACGCAGAACGGCGTAGCAGATATCTTGGCAGTATTTTTCGTAAATAGCTTTCAACTTCAAGACTACCAGAAGATTGTAAAATGTGTAAAATTATTGCAATACATAAATTAGAAGATAGATTTATAGAATGTATTTTAGACTGATATCTTTAACGAGCATGGCATGCAAACTACACAAGCATATAGCGATAAAACACTAACATTTTTTTTTAACGAAGGCATCCTGCTCCCCAATCAGCGTGGTTTTCATAGGGGTTTATTGACCACAACGCAACTAACTGAAGTCATAAACTCTATTTTGCCAACGTATTGACAATCACAGACAAACGGACATAATGTAAATTGACTTTTCAAAAACGTCTGACTGCGTTTGTCACACCAAGCTGTTCACTAAACTAAAAAGCATTACCAAATTTCAGATAATCGTGCTAGGATTGTAGCTATGTGCGTCAGCAGGGCGCAAGCCCATGTTGTGTCGCAGTAAGTGGAGTCTCGAGAGGCAAGTGCTGGTGTGACTCGGGGAGGGGGGAAGTTCCGCCCTATTGCACCCCCTGTCCGATGCAAATGACTGCAGTTTGTCTCAGCGACAGTGACATCACGAAGTGGTTCATATTAATACCGCACTGGGTTGTCGCTCTGATATCAGAATACAAGAAATAGTTACACCTCATTATATATATCGTGCACTGGTCTACAAAGATTACCGCGGCAAAGGCAAGATGGGTGAGTTTGCGTTCACGCACGTACCATGACAAAAAGCCTAAGGAGCTCCGCTTAAAGTGTGTGCGTAGCCTTAGGGGTTAACCTTTAGGGAATGGGCAATAAACTGTGACAGCAGGTTTCGCTTAGAAATTTATTGTAAGCAATGCGCTAGGCACGCGGTTCTCTTGATCAGTAAACTACGTATATATGTACGTACAGGGGCTGACGGTGACGCACACTCCAGTGTTTGTAGAAGTTAGTGTCAAGGTCAGTGTTAATAAGTCAGTGCTCATTGCTCAAGAACTTGCCATATCAGTATGGCCAAGATTCCTCATCCTTCTGATGATGAAGCCGCTTCACTTGAGCGCCAGTAAAAGCAGACTCGAGAACGGGCATGTCGTCGCCAAGCCAACCTCGATGTTTGCGCCAAATAGGCCGAATCAAAGCGCCAACAAACACAACACATGAAAAACAAGGACACAATAGCCTCGTGAATCTAAGGTTTAATAGTTCGGCAGTGTTCGCGATTGAGGACTGGCTGAAGTTTGCTTATTTAGACCATAAGTCGGTAAGAAAAATTGCAACTCAGACACAATCAAGAATTGCATTTCACTATGAGAGCTCACTCGGATTCACTACAGAAACTCACTCGAACTCGGGCTCAATTATTTTTTTCAGCATTATTCACTCGTAGTCTTTAGCTGGAATCATCAACTCAGATTAACAGGTTCATCCGAGTCTCACCAAGCCTTAGTCAATGAAATCGGCAATCTGATGGCGTAAATCGAGCATTTCCTACTACGGCGTGAAAGCTTTAATGCCAATATCTCCCATAATCGGTGCTCTCCGATACACTTTTTGATTTAGTAGGCTAAAAAGAGTTAAATCGGCTTTCGATCCAGTAAAAGAACATTTTATGGGAAATACGCGACTCACATAAGATATTTATATCAAGAACGTTCTTTGAGATAGCTGGGGGAGGGGGGTAACTTTTGCACCCTTGCCCCCACAACGAAGGCCTTTGATCAATGAACACTGAAGTGGCACATGAATACGAGCGCGTTGAGACGTGTTTTTTTTTAATTATTACAACCGTAAATTATGGTGATCTGGTAGCATAATACGTGTATGCCCACAGGTTATCATTAAAAGGTGGAGTTCACTTCGACTCACCCTAAAAAATTAGTGTTTTGCTAGGGGCTTACTCGGACTCTGACTCGCAACTATTTTACTCAACGAGCTCACTCCGACTCAGACTCGCTGACATTTTCCCCGGCCAGACTCGAACTTACCCGGCCTCTCTCAGACTCGGGGCAGTCTGAGTGGGTTCAAGTGATTCGACTGGTGAATGAGTTTGCCAACCTATGATCTATAAAAGTACGTCATAAAAGGAAGAGGGGGCAACGCGCAGCAGCAAGCGGAAATTTGACTGAATTCTTCAAGCAAAATACAAAAGTGTAATATATGTGCATGCGAATACGATGAAGGAACACTAAAACTCCAAGTTTGCAAAGTTTAAATGGCCGAGATGTTAACCATGCCGCTCAAAGAACAAATAGGGATAATGAAACTGGGTAGTGCTAGTACGTAGGGCAAGAGGTATCCTATTTTCGTACACGTGGAGCCTAATGTTCTAAGATATCGCACCAGTATTTGAGCCTAGAACACTCGTAAGCATTGTTTTTTCGAAACAAGGCAGGTTCGTTTCGTAGTTGCACAAAAAATATGCGAATTGCGTATGTGTTCGTGTAAGCGGGCCGCACTGAATGCGCCACCGATTACAAATAGGTCCCTGTGCGGATATGCCCATTATCAATTGAAGAACATGCACTTCTTCTTGGGGTTCATCCTTGATCCGTGGGGACACTGGAAAGCCCGCGCGAATGCCTCCGAGTTGCTGACAGCCTTGTTGCAGTCGACCGTGTGGGGACCCACGGCTCCGGGTAGGCTGCACGTCATGTAGCACAGGGTCATGAAGAACACCTGATCGCCCGATAAATTCCGCTGCATTGCCTGTGGTCTCCCGTCGTCGTCAACGCTGATGGACTGTCTGTACGCAGCGTAGGCGACCTCGAGCGCGGGAATCTCGGGAAACACGCTTGTCCTGGAGCCATTCCGGGTCGGGTAGCTTTGCGGCCGGTTGACCGGGTACTTCTCCGCAGCCTCCAGACAGCCGTCTCGGTCTTCGAAGGCCCGTTTAGCGGCGCTGTGTAGGGCACAAATAGGCCACTGAATAAAGTAACTTCGGCAGAACAACGTGCATGGTGACCCAGACCCTAACCGATACAGCAGGTACCGTAGCACTTGTGTCGTTTCATTCCCACACGTGGTGTCCCGCTTAAGAAAATGCGCTCTGAATGTCGCCAAAGGTGGAATTCATGCGGTATTCTGTTGCAGTGTTAGTTGAATATTTTTGGTCATGGCCTTTGGGAATGTGAAATTATTAACAATGATTATACAGTACGATAGATGATAAACAATTTAATTTGAAGTTTGTTAGTCACATGACTACTAACTGACACACAAAATTGAAAAACGAAACTTCATCTGCTGAATTTCCCCTAAAGCAGGTTGCAGTGATAGATCACTGCAGTGTAGTTTCTTAAAATACGAGGTATATAGTACTAAAACACTTTGTTAAAGCCGTACGGCAGGTGCTTCATGTTTTTGGTACCTAACTAAGCACTAACGAACGTACCAAGCTAGAATTAGGTAACGTATTAGTTTTTCTGCTGCTTCCGAGAGGGCTTGATTAGTTCTATCATTTAAATATCTACAATCTGTATTTGAAAGATTAAAGTGCAAAGCTCCTGGCGCAATCCAGGTACCCACGGCACACGGCCTTAAGAGCATTGCTCCTAATACGCGTTACAGCGCATCAGCGTGCGGCGTTTATAGTCGCAGCCGTGCAGCTACGCGCCTCCTAGGAAAAGGGCGCGTCGCTGAACCTACAAGCCACGAGATCACGTGTTCTAACGCGTACGTGTGATTAGGGCTTAATAGGATCAATAGGGAGTGCTATCTCATTTTGGAAGTCATGGTAGAAGCCCGCTATTCTTCTATGTGTAGCTGCTGATGTTGCGTTATGATTACGGCAGGGGTTTATTTTTTGTTTTTGTATTTTTATGACTTTTTTTGCGCTTGAGTGGATTTGAAATGACATGCTTTGAACCAGAGAGTTTCAAATGATACAAAGAATTAGATAAGCAATTGATCTTGCTTCGTTCAATGTCTTGCAGTGAGCGTTTAAGCTTGCTTAGGTTAAATAAGAGTAATCGAAGAGAATGCTCACTTGGACAAGAAGGACTCTCCGAATGTGCCGTCGGGGTGCCAATGCAGTCCCTGTCGATCCAATGATGCGACCAGCTCCACAGCCATAGAAAAGCCAAGTCCGCCGTAGAACATGGCCTTGTTTCCGTCGAAGTAATAAAGGGGCGGAGAAACAGCGCCCACGGCCATCTTCACAGAGCTGCTTGCCGCATCGTATTGCAGGTACGGCAGCGCATAGTTGACCGCGTAGCTCAGTATGTCGATGTCGGTGCGGGCACGATAGGTCTCGGCGGCACGGCGACTCGACTGGACCCAGTATTCAGCGAATGGCAGCTCCCCGCTGGGGAAGTCCGCGTACACGCTCTCTAGTTCCTCGTTCCGCAAGAAAATATTCGGAGGCCACAGCTGGAGGCGCGTCAAAGACAGCTTTTCGGCGGCCAGTTGCCGACTTGCGGTGTCCAGCCAGTTCGTGGCGTTGACCAAACCAGTGGCGACCGTAACCAGATGGTCGAACTTCGCAGAGACGGCAGCGCGCTCGTGTCTCGAGAAGCGTGACACAGTGGCCAGTGAAATCACCAGGAGACGGTAACTGGTCTCGACGAATCGTTCACAGAAGTATGGACGATAGAGTATGACGCCTTGGTCATACCGGGTCCTCAGTAATCGCAAATCTACTGCCGGTGCCAGTAGTTGCACGCAAGACCAGGCAATCAAGGATAGTAGCTGCGTCTCCTTGTACGAGGAAATCAAGACAGCCATCGCCTGGAAGAAGTTTTCGTCACCTATAAGAAGCGTGTCATTGTAACTGACTTCTGGCTCGAGCTGTATCTGCCGTAATGCGTGCAGCCACTCTTCTGACTCTAGCGGCCGTGTGTATAGTCCAATCTTTGCGATCGGAACCAATACCGGGCGTACTACAGGTGGATGCATGGCCACTAGCAGTCTTCTGAAGACGTCGCCCTCTAACGCGACAACTGCGTCTACGAGCGTGTGGTTTATCGCATTCCCGTCGTAATTTTCTCTCAGGATGTAGAAGAACGAAGCCCAGTACTTGGCATACGCACCAGTACTCTTTATCGTGACATGGTGCTGATACATCAGTGGTATAAGTGAGCCTGGTTCTAACAATAAACGCCAATTTGTTTTGGCCGCCGAGTGCTGTACCCTTACTTGAAAGAACAGTGGAACCTGCCACTTCAGCGCGAGCGTCATCAGTACCTCGAGAGCGCTGGTGTTGTAAGTCTGTGGCTGGTCTGGCCAGGACAGTCGACATTCACTGAGGAACTTTGAGAAAATGTCAATGTTCGAGCCGTAATGTTGGCTGTCGCCCATGCACGTAGCATACATGATGAGGGCCTTGTGGCCGACTCGAAGAGTCTTGGAGCCTTCTTTGAGGATCTGCTCGAACACGGGGAACCAAGACTTGCGCACGTCATCCATGGCTGAGTTAGAATGCTCGAGGTAGCCATCTGGTGGTGACCAAGCGGAACAGACGTAAGCGCTGAAGTCATGGCAGGGATCGAGGCTAGTGTTCAGCTTATCGGTAAGACGCCAAGCGTGGACGAGACAGCCTCTGGTCTTGCAGTAAGGTGTCTTCGGGGCCGACTTTTCATCCCGTGTGAGTCGAATGATGGCGGCTATGATGCCTGTCACTGTCAGCATTAGAATGGCCGTCAGAAGTACATGCTTCGTTCTGACAGGTATGCCAGCTACTGTGACCACGATCCGTGAAAAGCGGTGTTCCTGCGTTGTGAGACAAGAAAAAAAGACATCTATCTATTCATGATGACCAAATTCTATTAAAAAGGGTAAGCAATTATGCATGTTAGCAGGATCAAGGCTTGAGTGGTTAGAGCAAGCCATCGAGTAATGTGGGAGAACGTATAACGCAGAATCTTTAGACATACGGACAAAGATGCCATTTGTAATGATACAGCTCAGCATGACTTTTTAGTGTAAACTGTTATGAGCCGCCTGCTTTGTTGGAAATCGGTGTGTAGCACATGAGACAAAGGTGATTCACAATTTCGACGAAAGGCACAAAGAGGCAGAAAGGCTTCATAAAAAATATACAGAAAGGTGCAGGAAGTCTTGCTTGAATTATGCTTCCCTTTTAATGCCCCTTCTGAGTTTGAAATCTGAATGTCGGCATAGTGCTCGCATTGCTGAGATATGCGCCACGTTGCCTGCCCTGCCGCAGGCTCTGGTCATTTTGTGCACTGTCTTCAGGAGCCACGACAGTGCACAACGGAAATTTCGGTAGAATTCTCCGTTTCATGACAGCTTACTTCTTAGTTGACTCGTTGTGAGTGGTCAATAAGGCAAACTTTTTGTGTCACATATGCCTGTGATTCCTTCCCATATGCTCATTTTATCTTTAGTGCACCAGTGGTGAGCAGTGAAGTCTGTCAAGTTTTTGTGACACATGTTTCGTGTCCGCGAAAACATCGTTTCTAGCGGAGTATGTTTAATTAGTGCGGATTCCCTATTGTCCGTAGTACATGCAAAGTACTTTTTGTTGGCAAGGATACTCTTTGAGGACGTACTACTGCCCTGCAGTTATGTGCGGCGTCTCGGTAGTGAAAAAAAGCCTGGTTGATCCATTTGACGTAGGAATAAGTAAAACACAAAAATGAAACGTTTCTTTACAGAAGTAGTTTAACGTTTACTGTGCTATAGTATTGGAAACCTAGCGCAATGTGTCTTGGTGATCAACACCTAATATAGCGAGAATCGAGCAGGTTGTAAAAAGCGACAGAAGCCTGAAAGCTGCCAAGGCAAACTTCTGCATAGGTGAAAATAGGATGTATGCATTAAGGGACAAGGAAGGCAATGTCACAATCAATATGGATAGGATAGCTGAGCTGGCGAAGGAGTTCTACACAGAACTGTATGGAAGCTAAAGCAACCAGAATGATATTGTAAGAAAGAATAATAGCCCAGAGCAATTCGACATCCTATCAGCAGTGACAGGGGAAATAAGTAAAGCCCTAGACTAAATGCAAAGAGGCAAATCCGCTAAGAGGTCAAGGTAATACCAGACCTGCTGAAATATGGCGGAGAAATTGTGTTAGAAAAACTGGCCACCTTATATACGAAGTGTCTTTTCACGGGAAGGGTACCAGGAGCTTTGTAGAACGCCAACACCATTTTAATACATAACAACAAAACGTCAGAACATGAAAAATTACAGGCCGATCAGCTCACTATTCGTTCTCTACAAACTATTTACAAAAATATAGCTAATAAAATTATGGTGACATTAGAGTTCAGTCAACCAAAGACCAAGCAGGATTTTGTACACACTACTACACAGTACACCATATTCATACTATCTATCAGGTAATAGAGAAATGCGTGGAATACAACCAACCAATATACATAGCTTTCACGGAATTACGAGAAGGCGTTTTACTAAGTCGAGTCTTCAGCAGTAATGCTGGCACTAAGGACTCACGGCATGCACAAATCCTACATAAGCATACTGGAAGAAATCTACAGTGAATCCACAACCACCATAGTTCTCCATAAAGAAAGCGACAGAATCCTTGTAAAGAAGGGTGTAAGGCAGGGAGACATGATTTATACAATGCTATTCACTGCGTGTTAGCAGCTTTTCAGGGCACTAGATTGGACATAATTATGAATAAGATATAACAGAAAGTATCTTAGTTGCCAGTGATTCGCTGATGACATTACCTTGATGAGTAACTCAGGGGACGAATTACAGCTCAAAATTGCAGAACCAGGCACGGAGTAGGTCTGATAATTATTATGCAAAAAACTAAAGTAATATGCAACAGTCTCGGCAGAAAAAGTCGCTTTGCGGTAAATGGAGAGGTGGTAGCAGTTGTGAAACAATATGTCTGCTTAGGAGAGGTAGTAGCCGTGGAGCCGAACCATGAGAGCGAAAGAACTAGAAGAATGAGAATGGGGTGGATCACATTCGCCAAGCATTCTCAGATAATGAAAGGTATATGACAGCTGCATCTTGGCGGTATATACTTGCCTACAGAGCACAAACCTGGCGGCTTACAAAAAGGCAGCTTTAACTGAGGACGACGCAACGAGCGATGGAAAGAAAACTGAAAGGTATAGCCTTAAGACACAAGAAAAGGGCATAGTGGGTCGGGGAAGAAACCGGGCTTAAAGATATCCCAGTCGAAATCAGGAAGAAGAAATAGACATGGGCCGGGTACGAAGCACGTAGGCAGGATAACCGCTTTTGATTAAGGGTAACTGACTGTATCCCCAGAGAAGGCAAACGCACGAAGGGGAGACAGAGTGTTAGGCGGGTCGATGAGAATACAAACCTTCGCAGGTATAACGTGGCAGCAGAAAGCACAAGACCGGGTTTATAGGCGGCTCATAGGAGAGGCCTTCGCCCTACAGTTGGCGTAGTCAGGCTGATGATGATGATGATGATGATGATGATGATGATGATGATGATGATGATGACAGTGATATAGCGCTGCTTAACGCGTATTCATCCAGATTGACGCATAGTCCATTATTAACGACCAACGTCCATCATAAACGATTAAACAAACCGTTGTAATCCTAGATGGTTGTGGTAGCTGTAATAGTTAACGGTGAGAGTGGAACCAGAGGAAGTGATGTGACAACCAGATGAGGGCGACTGATTGCACGACGACCTTGAGCTACTCGTGGCATGTAACGCCACTGCCTGATTAGATATGAGCCACGCCAGCGCTTGAAGTGCTATCGCCACCTATAGCGGTGCGTTAAGGCGTAGACGAAATTGCACTTCCATAGGAAACGCGCCGAATGGGATGGACGATTCGAAATGACGCACTGCACTAAAGGAACTAATTGCGGATGTAACGGCCATGATGTGTCACTGCACTTTACCAAGAACGCTGTGAGGTGACAGTGGTAGTATGGTGCCTAGAATATATGCTAGGCACTATTGTCGTAGACATAAAAGACGTATTTTTACAGCCCACAGAGTATACGTGGATGTGGCGCAGTGGATAGCACGTCTGGCATCTGTTGGCGGTGGCTCAGAGGTCACGGGTTTGACTTCTGTTGACGGTACCTTTTTTTTTTGTCTTCTGATCGTGCGTATTCTTTCGACGTAATTTTCGTGACGGAAATACGCCATTCAAGTCTTGGTCGACCCAAGCATAAAACACTTCGTCATTAAAAAAAACCGCTGAAGCTGGAATCAAATTCAGGCACTTTTCACTGTAGTGAAGTGATCTACCAGAGCCACGCCTATGTTTATAATAGCGTTCGAAAAATACCTCGTATACATAAGAGCTGCGGAAAGTTGGAGTGCTGCCTTTAGACTTTATATAGACATCCAGTCAGAACATGCGTAACAATCGCAGCTATGAATATATTACATTGCCGGTGAATGGGCGAGTGGCGAATAGGATGACAGGAGCAATATTTGCCAACGCGCCACACCTCAGCGGCCCTGGTTATGCCAGCGCTTCTATAGCCATGGAATCTTGCAGCCCAACGCGGCCTTGAGCAAATAGCTTAGAGTGTTGATTCGACATATGATATTTGGTTTTTTCGTAACAATATGATGCACCGTAATGTAGGCGAAAATAGCATAGCGCCCTGTTATGAAGAACGTCTTCTGACCTTTTGAAGCCTTTATACGCAAGGGCCACGTACATAGATCTTCATAGCATAAAATTTAGAGGGAAATATAGATTCAGAGTGAGATATATATGCGTGAATACTTGAGCGGTGCTTCAACCACGATGGGAATGATGGATGATACAGGCGTCGGATCTGCTTCTGGTGAGTATATATTTTGAGATTGTTCCATTCTACGTAAACGGATTGTTCCACATAAACTTCTTGCAGAAAGTTTCCATGATCGCGAGATTGAAATGGAGCTTGCCAGATTTAACCACCACGGCATGCGTCATTCTGCATTGTTGTTCCATATTTGGCATTCTTAAAAAATAATTATTTTTTTCGGTAGTAACACTAAAGGTGAATATTTTCCTCGTGAAAGCGTGTCTCATCTGACCATGCCGGTGCATCCACTTCACTTCGCCGTCGTTTCGCGCAAAGGCTGACCACGTCGTCAGATTGCCGTCAAATGCATGCATTGGTTCGCGAGGCTGCATTGTGGGAGGCGGTGCGAGAATGACACTTTGCGAAAACTATCAAAACTTGTGAAAGCGCAAGCCCGCCGACAACCAAAAAACATAGCGTACTCCTGCCACATTCAGCACCAACTGAACCACTTGAATGCTTCCGGCAGCACATCAACACTAGCTACGCCAGAGAACACCTCCGGCATTTCGGCAGGATACAACTACTGTGTGGAGGGTGAAATTGAAAATGTTAAAAAAAACACATCTAGAACGTTCTGTAGTTAACAAAATAGGATGCGAAAGCCGCACTTCTCTTCGTTCTTATGGTGACTGAATAACGACAGCGCCGAATCGCACTTTGGTTTTAGATAAGCCAAGCGCACTTTGACTAATTTGTCTTATCTATCTATCTATCTCTCAATCTCTATCTATCTATCATCTATCTATTTATTTATCTATCTATCATCTATCTATATATCTGTCTATCTATCTATAATATATCTACGTATGGACATTTTTGTGGTCGTCCTCTTACGCTGACACACACAAAACTTGACATATATGAGCATGGCTGTGCATTACACGATTGACAGACAATGACATGAAAAGTCCGCTTCACCGCAAGAGCAAAGCAATAGATAAGATAGCAAGAAATATCTATAGAACTGGGCTGCATGTAGCGGTCCCCTCTGCATTTCGTGTCACGTAGCCACTTTCGACGCTTTCTTTGCCCGACGTCCCACATCGTCAGTGGATATAGATATGGGACACTTTTTTTTTTGTGCACATCTCAAAGGCTGTTCTCAAACGAACAAAATTAAGCAGCGTTGCTTCAACCACGCCGATCATGCCCTTCAATGGTTAAAAAAAATCCGCTGAAGCACCTCGGAGATCTGCGTACCCACAGCGTTAAATGGCGTATAATAACTGCTTGCCATTTGTACTCTGAAGTGCGCGGGAAAGAGACCACTAAACGCAGCACTATGGTAAACGATGGGTCGCAAGTTCGAATGGCCGGTGCCGAGCTTCGAAAATTTTAGATGCGTATCGTCTATGGTTGAACTGAATCCGGCGTGCAGTGTGACCATCCTTACAGCTCATAAGCGCCCCTCACCCTCTCTTCTCTCCTACGCTCCCCCTCTCTTTCCTCTAGGCATCCCTCCCAGTGGCGTTTACACCACCACTGCGCGTGCACGTCCCCTCCCCTTCTTTTTACTCTCCTATGCTCCGCACTCTCTTATATTGCAACGCCAATGCAGACAGCGTCTGCTGACGAGTTTTTTTTTTTTTTTAATTGAATAAACCTGACTGCTCGCGCTGCACAATCATTCACTGGCCACCCGATATATATATATATAGGTGCTGGATTTTGACTTCTAAGGTAGTGCTGAGGAGATATTTCTCCTGTGCGTTTGTTCAACAATGCAAATTTGCAGGGTGGGCGGTAACTAAAAATTGTGGGCCATCTCCCGGAAGGGAACCCCGATAGGATGCGAAGCATCCAGCAGCGGTGCACACGGCGTTGACCCCATTAGAACAGGTGTCAACACGGGTGCTAGAAGAACGGTGTGAACCGCAACGCGGTGTAGCGTTTACACGAGTAAACGTTTGTTTGAAAAGACACTGGAGGCGGGTCGTGTTTCGTGTAAGCGTTCGTGTTAAGCTTGCTGACGACTGCAGAATCGTCATGTCGGGGCAGCGTCATTCAGGGCTGTAGCGTTGGCTATCCGTTTTTATATTCATTATATACACACACCTAAGACTACGCAATTCATAGTCAACCACTGCTCATCCCAGGTACCATACGCAACAACCGCTAATTATGCATATCATCGTACCATGCCATGCACTACGTTTCCGTAAAACTGATGTCTATGCTCTCACCCGAGCGCCGACGTAACGCTGGTTCTAAATCTATCCTGGCCTATAGTAATGACACTCGGACAGGTTTTATTGTAAACACCGTAGGTATGCATATACAAGTGCTTGAAGTTTCAAGTCACAGGTCTAAAACAGGTGACCCACGGCTTCCTAAGGGCTAAAGCTATGTGTTTTTGCTGAATAATACTCGGACTGTTTTGTCAACTATTGCAATACATAACACCCTGTTGTAGTAGGCTACAGATACCCAACTGGACTAAGACATTTTGTTCTTGTGAGGCACTCATGCAATCACTATGAGTTGAAACATCCCCGTCAAACTAAAACTATTTCGGAAACACCGTCCAGGTTTTCCTTCTAAATGAGTATTGATTTCAAAACGCGATGTCCATTTGCTCTAAGAAATGGATGTCGTAAAAGCGTTCTTTCGAATGGCAAGTGAGACCACCGGATGACCTTTTATAAAATTTCACGCTCCCCCCTACCTCATCACTAACACCATCTTCACTGCTTCCCCACTTGCGGGACCACGTAATGGCCCACAATTTGAAGTAAGTTTGAGACCGCTGTTTTCGGATAGTTAAAAAACACAATGTGTTAAAGGATCCGTGAACAGGCTCCGGAATGCGCAGGAAAAGCTTGAGCATTCTTCCCGCGCGTGGCCAACCTCCTTGCACGCGCAGTGACGACAACTCGGCGATCAGCGACGTTGACTTCATTACTGTTTGTTGAGACCTGGCTTAGACCAATCAATGAGCTGCGTGCTGCGTCACGTCGCCGATCGCCGAGTTGACGTCACTGCGCGTGGAAGGAGGTTAATGAGGCGTAGGAAAAATGCTCGAGTTTTTGTTGCGCGTTTCGGAGCCTGTTTACTGGCCCTTTAAACGTTGCAACCAAGCAACAGAGCCACTTAAGTGGAAGCTTCTGTTTCATAGGTTCGTAAAGCAAATAGTTGTAATAACAAGAGCTTAAGCAGCTAGCAACAGTGAAGTACCATTTGTAAAGTAGTGTGGTGTCACTCACGAGGTAAGAGTCCGATATCCAAGACTTGTTGCTACGTGACCTCTTCTGCTGCTCTTCCTGGCGTTCGGCGCTGAGCGTCTTGAGCCCTTGTATGAAGGACTTGAAAGAGGGTTCGCCCTGAGTTACTGAGTCCTGCGTCGACGACTTCACAGAGGAGCCACGTCTCGAGAGACTGGCTTTAGGCACGGACAGCGTCACCATAGAGCCCCGGCGTGTCCTTGTCTTAATCGTATCTGGCGGTAACGATTCGCCACTGAATTCGGGTGTCAACGGAGCGTCCTCTGTTTCCTTCTTCGAAGCCATAGACGAGGTATGGCCTGTGGATACGTGAGCAGTCACGGACTTCGCAGGCTGCTTCGACTGGGAGGTGCTATGTTCGCCAGGAGGGAGCTCGCCGCCTTCGTCATGGACCGCTTCCTTCTCGCGTTGTGCGCTCGTCAGTGACCGCAGTCTTCAGAGAAGAACATGCTTCGGTCGAAGGATCAACGGCCGCCTTGTACTTACGATGTTCGGCACTACCATGTCGCAGTCTTTCAGGTACCGGGACATCGAGTGCACTGCGATGGGAGTCAGCGTAAAACGAACGTCTTCGCTTCTTTTTTGAAGCTCCGATACCGCGAGGCTCGGTGACTAACCCGGCGACGGAGGTCATGCCTGTCGGTAGAGTCGATTGCAGCGGGACACTCGCGGTGGCTTCCAGACCAGCATCAGAGTGGCGCTTGCATGTCCCTCCACGTTCGCCGGAGGACGAGGATCTCCGTGAAGAGTGCCGTTCACTAGAGCTCGTCGAGCTCGCCCGAGAGCGACGTCGAATCCTGTTCTTGTCGTCTCGGGACTCGGAGCCTCGACGCATCTCTTCTCTGTTGGATCGGGTCACTAATCGTAGAACAAGACGTGCGCTACTCGGAAACGCTTTTCTTCTTCTGGGCTCATTGCTCGTGGCATGCGCAGTGCGCGACCGACTGGCGTAATTATGATGATGATCTTGCGCTTCTACAGCAGGTGCACAGAAATTAATACTATCCGTGAATCGGGCCGACTGGAAAGGTTAAAGCTACGCAGCTATTAAGTATATGTTCAAGGCAAATAGTGAAAATTTGCAACGGTGCAGCCTAAATCAACCAATTTGCGAATACTGTGTTTGGACAGATATCAAAATATTATAGGATGGTCATGATCATGATGGTCAATAAAAGGGTATGGGTTTAAGCTTGTTCGTAACGCTTCGTGAAAACAACGAGGGCACGGTCGACCCTTAGGATGTCGATCCTTAGGACACTAAGGAAAACCCGACCAAACAAACCACATGGTAAACTCTGTAGTGGACACTGAGTGCTATGTTGATGTTCTAATTAATGGCGCTGGGAGCATGCGCGCGCCACCTCCTGTGGGGTATATAGCAGGGGGGCAGTTCGGAATAAAGGGGCTTCCTGTTGTTGCTATGAGCCGTGCTCATGTCTTATTCGGCGTCTCTAAACACATGGAAAACCCCATGATTCTTTCTGTATCCTCGTCGATTTGTCGATTTCGTGGTATTTTGCACCACTGAGGGTCAACCTTTAGGACAACATTTGTGACTAGGCCGCTTTGGGCATGGTCGCCTCTGAGCTCTCCAATTGGCTACACTCCCTGCCTCCGCGTCTCTTTCCCATTGGTATGGATCCTTGGTAGTAAGTCGCGTAAAGAACATCATGACGCGCACAGGAAGAATTGACAAGAGCAAATGCTTGTTGACATTTCTTCCTGTGCGCATCGTCCTATTTTTTGAGCTGCTTACTACCCTTAATAGTTGCTACAAGTAGGACGACAAGACAGGGACAGAGAGTTAGACTTTGTTTTAAATTGATCCTGAAACGGTTTTTACGATATTGCATAAGCACACTAAGCTCGTAAAGGCAGTCATAAGAATCATTGAAGACAGATTTATTCTCTCTGTGTTTATTCTGTCTTTTACTACAAAGCCTCAAACGTGTGAAACACTACATATCGGCTCAACATCTCGCGCCTTTTACAAGTTGATTTGTTTCGATTTTTCTTGACCCTGCGACCAATCTGACTAAATATGTCCAATCTGCGTACGTCACAGAACCTCATGTGGGCTGCGAGCTTCGTCTGCCTGTGCTACAACGTGCTTCGTGTTGACCTGAGCTGAGCAACATTGTTTATCCCGACCTTTCTTCTGCTGGACACAATGAATTGGCATGTGCAGTGTACCACATATCTAACGATCGGTGACTTGCAAAGCTGAGACATCGTTCAATGTTTGTGAGGCCGAGAAGAATCACTTCCTGTCGAGCGAAACATGCTGGAGTTCAATTCCTCCTGGTACCACGATATCTATTCTATACTTTGGTTGGGTCAACATGCCGATATCTGCTTTTATATAGGGGTTAAGCTCCTTAGGGCCAACCTAGTTGGCGTTCATCACGCACCACAAAACTCTAACAAATACTGGACACGTGCACAACAAAAAAAAACATCACATGTGTAAACAACCGGCTTTATGTGTTCTCGAGCGCAATACATGATCACCCGCACCGACGTTGTATCCGTCTATTCAATCATTTTTTCCGTTCATCCATTTATTCATTCATCTGTCCATCCGTCCGTCTACCTGTCCATTCATAAGTCCTATTTTCCACGCACCCGTCCACCAGTCCGTCCGTACGTGCATGCGTCATTCATTTTGTGGAGATGCAGTGAGTTTTCATAACGCTGTCGAAATAAAATTACCAATGTCTGTTAGCCTCGTTCCTCGGTTGATACAAAATTTCAATCCCCTTCAATGCCTTGCGCTTAACTATATACAGTTGGTCTTAACCTGACATAATGGCTGTGCCACAAACATATGTAATGCTTATGAAATTGGATAGCTATTATTGCATCCCCAATTGAGGCTTTACGAACCTTGTGGTATATTTGAAAAGCAGGCTAGACTTGGCGTGGCTCTGTGGTAGAATACGTGGTTGCCAGGTAGAATCACGTGGTTCGATTCATGCTGGGACCATAATACTTTTTTATTTACGTTCATCGGGAAAACGCAGCCAATGTCTTCTTTTATCTACGCGTTAAAATTATCTATGTGCGTTCTCGCAGTTCCAGAGTAGATATGAAGTGTCCATCACCTGTGGCACATACCCGCATACCAGTGGCACATACCCGCCCGCGGCTATGTGCCACTGTCTAGCGGAAAGTGTTTGATGACGTCCGCGACGGGAATGTGACATTATTCGCTTCACGATCAGCGAGTCGTATTTGTCAAACCATCGTACCCTCCCATACTAATTTTGGTTGACTCCACGTTAAGAAGGTGATTACGAGAGCACCCAGACGTAGGCGGCTGTATTCGTGGCGAGATCGGGCTGTAGGTGGCAGCGCTTCCTCGTGAAAGCTCGAGTTTCTGTATATGCTGCCTTTACCTAAAAGTAGCTATAGAGTAACTCTTGTGAAAGTGTGTATAGGTGGTAGGCGGCACGTATACAGATACACGCAGCAGCGCTTCGTTGCCTGCGGTCTGAGCCAATTATCGGCAGATAAAACGCGTTGAACTCAGTTTACTATTAATATCTACGGTATTCTCTACTGAATCAGTGCACGACTCCTATGCAACATTACATTACCCTCGAGTTAAGCGCATTCTGCCTTTCATATAGAGATGCTCGTCCTAGGTGGCTCTCTTCACGCTTTCGCACTAAATCACGCCTTTGCTGTGTTGTTTGTACGTGGTTAGCTTGTGTTCCACGCCTGTTACGCACTGCTGTAGCGTGACTGAACTACTTATTTACATCTTTGTGATCTGCATATGACAAAAAAAAGAGAGAAAGAAAGATCGTAGAAAGCCCGCGTATCTGTGCTATTCGTTTAGTACCACGGTTCGCACCTTGTACGCCTGTTATTTTTTTTTCTCATTCCGGTCACCATCAAATGTGGGACAGTCGATAAGTATAATCAGGAAAACTTAGTGGCTGACGGCGCTTTGGGCTATACTGCGCTTACCACGTGTATGCACATGTTCTTGCACCAGTAAAAATATAAGAGTAATATAAGAGTTCAGCAGAAAGCTTTCATCGATGGATTACGTGCATGACGGTGCTACAACAAAGGCCTGGTTAATGCGACGAGCGTTTTTTTTCTTTTTTGTTGTTGTTTTCTTAGACGAAAATTACCACTGCTTTCCGTTGGTCAATTAAAATGCCACACAGACGCTGGAAAAAGCGTAAAAAAGATGAAATTTTCAGTAAACTTGTACGACATAATATACAGGGCATGCCGTCTGAATTAATTTTCAACGTCTGGGCTCTTAAAAGCGTTCTTCAATCTAAAACACAGTTGCGCATGGTAACTCCGTTTTCAGTACAGTTTAAGTACCCAAGTCTCGAAGTTTATGTGATACTAATATTTTTATCTAGTGGTACAACGGCCAGATAAACACAACTAAGGCTCCTTGCATGATCGTTAAACTACAGTGCCGTAGTTGTACACCTACCAACGGCGCGCAAATGCATAGCCTAGAGCCTGTTTTTTTTTAACAACTGAGTTGCTATAAAACGCTGCATTCACCCAGAACTTAATCGTCCTCCTGTTTGGGAGGATGCCAAGTGCATTTTGCGATGTGCTAGAAACAGAAAGCGGCATCCACTGTGAAATTATTCAGGTGATTGGAAGGTACGAAGACAATAAAGAGCTCTAAGGAAAGTTGCACTTGCCCATCTTATTAATAAGCATTAGCAGCCCAGCAAGCCCAAATGCTTTCGTGCGTCCTTTCAGGCAAGCGTAAAAATGGCAACACTCGCACTGACATGACCGGACAAATTACACTTAGAGAACGTGCATGACCTACGCGCACATTGAAACACGACGTGGCTAGCAGACGACGCAAGTGCCTGTTAATTGTTAGACCGCTAGTACGGGACACAGACCAAGGTTGCTTGACAACTATATAATGTCTACTGCACCTTCTTGAAATGACGCGTTGGGTAACACTGCATCTCGAAGATCTGCTTGAACTGCTTGTCGTAGGGCAGGAACTTCGGTGAATGACGTGTTCTCAGAGATCTTCGAACAGGCTGTGTGTCGGAAGTGCTGTCTGCGGCGATATCTGGTTCTACTGGGTCAGTCACAGGAATAAATGACCCATCAATGTCATCGTAATTCTGGTCAGGCGTTCGAGGCACTTCCGAATCACGGGTTGGCTGCACTAG